CGCGGTGGGCGGGGCGCGCGGCACAGTGAAGTGGATCCCTCGGCCCTACCGGAGTGCTGGGTCCCTGCGCTGCTGACGTTCCGTACCTCTGCGCGTGGCGCCCGGCCACACGGGCCCGCAGACCCAGCCCTCGACCTCTCCCAGGGTGGACTCTGCCGGCTGCGCGCTCCGTCCTGCCTGCGCCCGGCTGTTCTCAAGAGCGTGTTGGCCTTCGCCGTGGCCTCTAGCTCCCCACACTGCGGAGGGCGGAGAGCCGGTGATGGCCTCCGCCTTAGGAGGGGCGGGGGTGTCCGAGAGGGTGAGGCGCTTGTGCAGCGCTCCCCCACTCCCCGGCCTTCCCCACCATCGAGCAGGGCCAGGCCTCCTGCTGCCAAGTCTCGCCCTTTCCCATTGCCTTAGTCACTCCGACTGCCCCAGGCCAGTAATAGTCCCGCTAAATCCTCTGACCCTTTCTGTGCACCCACTGTGTGCTAGGCCCCGGGTCAGACGCTGAAGACGTGGCCAATCAAATAGTGCCTCTCTCCCAGACTTCACGATCCAGTGGAGAACCAGATAGCTCGACATGTGAGGGACCCAAAGGGAGAGGGTAACCAAGATTCAACTGAGTTCTAACTGCAGACTGTCATTTACTGGCTCAGTAACCTTGGCAAGATGCTAAACTTCTTTACCTCAGTTTCTTACCTATAACCTACCTCATAAGGGTGTTACAAGGAATGGCTGAGTCCCTGTGGTAGTCGGGCTCCGGCCTCTTGCTGTTACTGTGGTGGTGGCAGTGGTGGTGGTAGTGGTGGTTCTTAAGAGGAGGAATTGAAGTACAGAGAAGGTGAGGGACTTGCCAGGAACCACATAGCAGCTACATCAACAAAAAATAGGCAGGGCAGTGGGGAAATGGGCAGGGCAGAGCTGACTAGAGCACTGAAGAGACACTTCAACTAGAGAAAGAGAGAGGGCCAGGAAGGGGACAAAAGAGGAACACAAAATGCCCCCTCTCTTCTTACTGGTTACAGTTGAGGAAATTCAGCCTTTGTTGTTGGGGGAGGAAGGTTTGAAGTCTGCCAGCTTCTGGTTGTTTGTAGTTTGGGCTTTACACGAACTATTAAACCTCGGTTTCACTTTCAGCATTTCTTCAGGGTGAGCAAAACTGCGGTGGCTTCTCCAGCCATCCCTAGAACACCTGGGGGCTGGGGCCTGGGCTGGGCGCTCTGGGAAGGGGTTGCAATCTTCCAGCCAGGACACCAGCCTGATTTATCAATAAGTATGGCAGGTGCCATGAGCAGCAAGGTCTTGGAGAGCAGCAGAGGGGAGGGTTCATTCTGTTGGAAGTGGGACACCTTAGAAATGATGTCAGGGAAAGCTACAAGGACCTGACTCTTAAAGGATGAGTGAAGCAGTTGACCGGAGGACCGGGGCACTCGTTCCATTTATGGAAGTCATATAAAATCTGCTTTTCAAAGAAAATTATTTAAACAACAACAACAAAAAAGTGAACTGATTTAAAGGCAGATACTAAGTAAATAATAGTGCAGGTGGAAGGAGGATGGCTGAGCTCTGGAAGTGCCCGGGTCTGTCCCACAGGGAATGCCGTCTGGTCTGGAAGTGGTGGAAGATCCCTTGTGGAAATACCTCGGGAGTGTCTGCTGTAGGATCCCTGCACCATTCAGTCACCAAATTCCTGCTGTGTGCAGATGTGTGTGGAGAGGGAGGGAGCAGCTCAGCCGGGGCAGAGGCCAGGCTGGGGTATAGGGGGGGCTGGGTACAGGAACAATAATATGCACGGAACACTTCCTGTGTGCCAGGCACTGCTCAAAATAGACACGTGAACGCATTTAACCAGCACAAGAGCCCTTTACAGATGGGAAAATCAGTACAGAGACGTTGAATAAATTGTTTAATGTTGCACAGCTGGCAAGAGCAGACCTGGGCTTTGAACCTGGGCAGTCTGACGCCAGAGCCCCTGATCTTCACCACTTGCTCTTGCCTCTTATTGGGATGGAGTCTGGGGACTTAGAGGACCTGCCCTCTTCACCTGAAGTGAACAGGGGGGTCTAGTTGGGAGCTGGACACAGTCATTTATAGGGTGGTGTGATCAGTGCTCAGAATGGGGGGAGTTCCGGTGTCACTGAAGCCCCCCGGAGGCCCCCAACCTAGCCTGGGTGGCCAGGGACATGGGATTAGGTGACAGTTACACTGGACCAGGAGGGCACAGAGTCCTGCAGACAGTGGCCCTGGTGGAGCAGCTGTGGCCTCCTAATGTGGGGTGGGAGGGTTGGCAGAGCAGCTCTGACCTCTTGTTCCTCTCCACAGGTACAGCACGTGGGAGCCGGAGGAGCACATCCTGGACCCCCGCCTGGTCATGGCCTATGAGGAGAAGTAAGGGGGCTCAGCCTGCCATGGGGCTGTGCGGAAGGCAGGCTCTGAGGTTTTCTTAGGGAGTTGCTGCTGGCTTGGCTCTGAACAAAGGGCACGGGCATGGGGGCAGGGGTCTGGCAGGGACAGCCCAGTCTAGTCTGCAGCTGTGGGAAGGTGGTGGGCACCAGGTTCTGGGACAGCAAGGGCCCTGGCTCCTTCCTGCTGCTGGGTGATACTGGCCACTCAGCTGACCACCCCAGGCCTCAGTCTCTCTGCTGTTGTTGGCCACCCCCAGTAACACCTGCCCCAATCTCCCCAGAAGCTAGGAGTTTCAAGGTAGGGGTTTCAGTTTCAGCAAAGGAGGTGAAAATGGACACAGAGGCAGCCTGCATGCATGGGGCAGCAGGGTCAGTCATGTCCAGCCATGCTCAGTGATGGACCAGAGAGAGACTTCCCCCTAGAGACCCTCTCACCAAGTCAGATGGAACTCAAGAAAGGCCAGAGGAGGGAGTGTGGCTTTGGAGCCAGGATATCTGAGTTCTAGTGCCTCCTGCTTGGTCACCTCCTCGGTGGGTGGCCCTGGGCAAAGCTGCCCCTCCGGGCCCAGTCTCCTGCTCTGCCAGTGCTCTGCTGTGATTCTGCAGGTTGGTCAGTGATTGGCAGCTCCTCTGATGGGCCATGAGGGCACATCTTTGCAGGGAGCCTTTGACAAAAATGTTGTTTCTCCTTGTGGGAGGGCCTTGTGAGCATAATCTAGCCATTCCCTTCTCTGCGTGAGCCCCAGTGTTACCAACCTCCCTGCCAGTCGGCTGCCCAGTCTTTCTGCCTCACCCCGACCCATCGACCCTGTACCGTTTGGGCCCTTTTTATAAAATCATCATTTTTATTTGTCTCCTTTTGATAACCTCTTGAGACAAGGATGAGGGTCTCATTTGACAGATGAGGAAACTGAGGCTCTGAAGAGCTAAGGGACTTGTCTGGGAACCTCACAGCTGGGAAGCAGCCCAAGTAGGATTTAGCCTGGGGGGGCTCCTGACTCCAAGTCGCTGTTGTTCCTCTGCCCCTCCTCGCCCCCTTCTGATGGCTTCTCTGCCAGGAGGTCTCATGCTGCTGATTCAAAGGACTTGTGTGAATGTCTTCCTAAGGGTAATAAGGAGTCAGCTAGTTCGTTCTTTCATTTGTTCAACAAATCCTTATTGAGGTCCTTCTACGTGCCGGGCACTGTTCCAGGAATTGGGGGCAAGGAACAAAATCAACTAATGTCCCTGCCCTCACGGGGCTCACATTCCAGTGTGGAGGGAGACCTGCAGTGAAAAGTACACCACATACGGATGGTGCTGACCGCTGCTCAGACAGGCTCGGGGCAGGGAGTGAGGGCTGGGCAGGGGCTGCTGGTTTCAGTGGGGTGGTAGGTGGTGGTGTTTGACCAGAGCCCGAGCTAAGTAAGGGAATAAGCCCAGTAGGTATTTTAGAGAAGAACATCTCGGGTGGAGAGCACAGTGAGTGCAGAGGCCCTGGGGTGAGGGCCTGTGAGGGCCAGCATGGAGGCAAGTGGGGCTCTGAGTGTGGCTGGCTGGGTGGTGTGGTTGGGGCAGGGGTCAGCGATGAGGCGGGGTAAGGCATGGGGGAGGGGAGGGACAGCACCAGGAATGAGGGACGCAGCCCAGGGAGGGCCCTACGAATCCTGGTAGAGGACTTGGATGTTGTTTTGAATGAGCCAGAAAAGTCAATAGTTAAGGAACAAATGAGGAGCTTAGCGGATTCTACAGACCCACTGTGTGACTTGACTTCCTCCTTCTTTCTGGGTCTTGGTGAGGTGGGGGTGGAAGGTGGGTGATGACCATTTTAACACCTGCTTTGCAGGGTATTTAAGATACTCAGGAGTCTGGCCAGGGGACTCTAATGGAGGAGCCAAGAGGGCAGTCAGGGCTTGCTGGGGCCACGCTCTGGATACTGATGGGCAGAGGGTCCAAGGCTGACAGAAACCAAGGCTCTCAGTAGGTAAGGACTGGACAGAATGAATGCCCCCACCTTAACCTCCCAGCCCTCCTCACACAGTTTGCAGGGCAGGAGCAGGGATGCTGCAGATGGGAAGCCAGGTCATGTGGCCTGGGCTCCGAGCCTGCCCCGCTGGCCCTGTCTCGGCCCTCAGGCCTGACCTGGTCAGGCCTGGAGCCCAGAGCTCAGCATCTTCACCAGTGGCAGAAATTGTTAAAATTGTGGCATCAGGCAACTGACTTAATCTCTCTATGCCTCAGGGATAAAATGAGGCTAGAAATCGTGCCTCCCTCTTGGGTGGCTGTGAGGGTTAAAGCATTGAGAGCAGTGCCTTGTACAGAGTGTCCAGGACATGATACTAAAAATAATAATAAACAACACTTACACAAATGTAATAAATACATATTATCCTTTCCTCACCCCGAGGTCCTTTCCTTTTGCTCCCCCCCACTTCTTCCTCCTTTTCCTCTTTTTTCTTTTCCTTCCCTCTCTCTTCCTCTATTATTTCAGTCTTTTTACCCCGCATTTTGAGAAATAGCAAGGACCTCCCTTCCTCCTTCCAGGAGCCCTGGGGTCAGCTGAGAAGGGAAGCTCTTGGCTCCAGACAAGGAAACTGAGGCCCAGCCAAGGTCTCCCATTGGTCAGGGTAGAGCTGGGCCTGGAGCAGGGTGTCCTGGTGCCCAGCACCGGGTTCTGAGATGATTCTTGCCCTCGGGGTTTGGGAGGCCTGGCTTGGCATGGGTATCACATGCCCTGGGTGCTTTTCTCAAAAGCTGGTTCTAGGGCCCCACAGCAGACCTGCTGAGGCCGACTCCATGGGGAGGGAGGGCCCTTCTTCAGTGCTCCTGGAGTCTGATGTCTGGGCTGCCTCCAGGAGGAGCGAACCTCAAAAACAGACTCCACAGATCCACTGGCTTAGCTGGGCTCAGGTTGAGAGACTGGCCTAAGGCCACAGAAAGTATAAGTGGAATGAAGTGAAACAGGATGAATTTTCCCACCACTTCCAGCATGGCCTTGGGGCCTCTGTGTGTCATGTGGCTTTGTGCGTGCCCTCAGGTTGTGCCTCGTGTGTTGTGTTTGGATGTGAGGAGGGCATCCAGCAGAGAGTGGCATCTACTGGGGCCTGAATATGGGCTAGTTTTTCTGCCCCCTCCCCAGCCAGACTGTACAGACAAGTGGGACTGGTCCAAGCAGAGGCCAAATGGGGGAAATCTGGGGAGAGCTTCATGTAGGTACGAAGGACTCGCCTGCCTTCTTCTCATCAGCTCCCCTGGGGCATTCAACGCAAATTTGATTGAGAGGCTTCTATACAAGTTTCCTAAGAGCAGAAATTGGAACTGCATTGTTTTGGGGGGTGTTCCCAGTGGCATGAAGAGCAGAGCTTGGCACACCCCTGGAGCTGTGAAGACCCACATATTTTTGGAGATGCCCCCAAGTCCCACCTCAGCAGTTGGGACCAGTGGCTGTGCCCTCACCTTTAGTCAGATGGGAAGGCGGAGCCCTGGGAGTTGAACATGTGACCACATTGTTATGGGCTAAAGAGAGTGATGGGAGGAGCCGTAAGGCAGGGTTGGGGGTGGCCTGTAGAGAGTGTCCCCCTTCCCCATAGACAGCAGGGGGCCGGGTGGAGCGGATGCCTTTCCCTTAAATGTCACCAGTGTTTCCTTTTCTTCTGCCATCTGCTTTGCACCCCAGGGAGGAGAGAGACCGAGCGTCGGGGTATAGGAAGAGAGGTCCGAAACCCAAGCGGCTTCTGCTGCAGGTAACCCCGCCAGCTCTGGTGCCCGCCCACAGGGCCCCCTTGCTCCTTGCACCAGCCCCTGCCCCATCAGAGCATTTGCATCAGCTAATTCAGCTGAACCACTAACCCTCCTGGCCTCTGCTCAGGGCTCTGTGGGGTGGAGCCAGACAATTAATGAGTATGTTTCAATGGAAGGAGTTGGGAAAAGTCAGAAGGTGGGGCTGGTGCCCTAGAAGACACCGTGGGTGGGAGGTGCTGTGGAGGGAGGTGGGGTGAATGTATGGCTCATGGGATCCTAGAATTTTCAAAGCTAAGAATCTTGTAAATGAGCCTTTTTGATGCTCAAAGTCCCTAAAATACAAAATTGTAGTATTTGAGAACCTTAGAAACATAAGTTTCAGAGGAAACTGAGGTGTGTGGAATTTTAGAATCCAAGAAAAGGAGAGTCCTAGAGTTCTGAAACCATACCCTTGGAATGTCCTAGAAATGTGTCATTTTGAGTGAGAAGAAACCCTCTGCCCCAGGTGGGGTCTAGACTCTGGCAGCCCACGTTACCCAGGTCTTGGGGACATTTTGCTGCCTTCTCTGGTTTGCACTGAAAAGAGGATGGAGCCTCAAGTAATGTAGTTATGTGATTGGAGGCAAGCCTCTGAGCTTGTTTTTTCATGTATAAAATCAGGATGATAAGATTATGTCCTGCCCTTAATTTAATAAGGCTCACCCAGGTATTTAAAGCCAAATAACAAGGCCTCTTGGTCCACGTGCAGTGTGAACCATGCCCAGCCTCCTGTTCACTCTTAATTGTAAATCACCTGAGGCTTTTGCAGACTAGATGGGCCTGCCTTCTAGCGGTGGGCAGATTCCACAGAATTTGGTGTGAATTGGTCCTGGGAAGGGGAGTAGCATCAGTCAGACATCTTCTCCATGCTAAACTCTGTGCTCCATGCTCTTCACAAATGAACACACTTCATCTGCACACCAAACCTACAGGGAAGGTGTATCAGTCATCTATTGCTGTGTAACGACTTAGCAATAAACTGAGCTAACTTAGAGCAATAAACATTTACTATCACACAGTCTTGGTGGGTCAGGAATTTGGGAGTGCTTTAGCTGGTCCTTAGTGATTCTAGTTCAGGTTACAGCCATGATGTCTTCTGGGAACCACTCACTTGAAGACTTAACAAGGGCCTGAGTGATCTGTTTCCAGTGTGGCTACTCATGCCCAGTGTATCAGTGCTGGATGTAGACAGGAGGCCTGGTTCCTCACCACTGGACCTCTCCATGGCGCCACTGGGTGGCCTCCCAGTATGGCCACTAGCTTCCGCCAGAGTGGGCAATCCAAGACACAGAGCAAGGACAAAGCACAGTGTCTTAAGTGACTTAACCTCGAAAGTCCCACACCACAGTATTCAGTGTAGAGGGGACTCCACACGGGTGTGAATTCCCAGAGGTGGGTATTTGGAGCTGTCTTGGAGGCTGGCTGTGTCAGTTTCTGCATCATTTCACTGATGAAGAAACCGAGGCTCAGAGAGGCCAGTAGTTCACCCAGAGTCACACAATTGGATTAAAGCCCAGAGCTGACTCCTGGTGCTCCTGGATCTGTTATTGGCTGTAATTTTCCCATGGTGAGGTAGAGGAGGACAGAATTGTATGAGAGTTTAGTAGTCCTGTGATGATAGCCTATGAGCTAGGCTGAAGGAGTGGGTGTTGATAAAGCTGCATATAGGATAAGCCCTCTTAGCATTGCAGTATTTTTGCAATCTCCTCCGGGTTCAGCCCTCCTCCCATCACCGTAACAACCCACACTCCCTGCTGAGTGATGGGCATTAGCAGGTGGGACTGGGGAATGGAGTTTGCACATGAGATCTTTGCTCCCAACTTGAGATGGGGCAAAACTTTGACTTACAGGTCCCATTTGATGGCCTCACTCTCTTCCTGGGAGCTCTTGGCCTCTGGTGACAGGTCATAGAAGAAGGTACTGTCCGAGAGTGATCCAGGCCCTCCCAACATTCAAGCATCAAGGATCTTTCTTGGATTTGTATAAATTTCCCCCAAAGTCAATAAGACAGATCCACAAATGACAAAACTTCAGCCTTTGAGTGGTGGAAGAATGTGCCTCCCAGCCCATTTTAACGGGAGTGAGCAGGATGTCAACAGAGGGCTGGACCCTGGTAGGGCCACTGCAGCTCAGAGCCAAGGAGTGCCCTGGAGGGGTCCCAGGGTATCTGCAGGCGGCTGGCAGTGCACCATCCCTGTGGCTGGGTGACACGGTGCACCCAGTGCTATGTGTACCCCTTGGTTGACTTGCCCCAAGAAATTTCAGAGCCCTGCGCCTACCACCATAGCCCTGGCGGGCTGGCTGTTTCAGCTTTGGGGGGCCCTGTAGAAGCAAAGATTCCTATCCTATAGTGAAGAATAATTCCTTAATTTATCTGCCTCATCAATCCAGATTTGGTTTTTGTTGGTGAGTTTTCAGTGTGTAGTCTTGTGTGCTCCTCTGCTGTGTACCAAAGGAGTATGCCCTGTGGTCCTGTCCCTGAGCCACTTAGAGCACTGGGGAGATAAGGCCGCAGCGTGGGCTGCGCTGGGCCAGGCCGTGGGGCCAGGGCTGGGTCTGGTCAAGGGCAGCACTCTAGGCGGTGGGAGGTGGGGGTGGGGGGTGGGGGGGGTGGCGGGCTTTGAGCTGGGAAACGTGGGGAAGGGCACTCCGGGTGGGAGGAACAGCATGAGCAAAGGCGCGGCAGTGGGTGGGAGGGCAGGGCTGACCCGCCGTGCCCTGGCTTGCCCCCGCAGCGGCTGTACAGCATGGACCTGCGGAGCTCCCACAAGGCCAAGGGCAAGGAGAAGCTCTGCTTCTCCCTGACGCGCCCACTCGGCAGCGGGAGCCCCGAGGGGGTGGTCAAGGCGGGGGCGCCCGAGCTGGTGGACAAGGGCCCCTTGGTGCCCACCTTGCCCTTCCCGCTCCGCAAGCCCCGCAAGGCCCACAAGTACCTGCGGCTCTCACGCAAGAAGTTCCCGCCCCGCGGGCCCAACCTGGAGAGTCACAGCCATCGACGGGAGCTCTTCCCTCAGGAGTCACCGGCCACGGACGTCCTGCAGGCGGCCAGCGAGTGGGAGCCTGCTGAGCAGCCCCCCGAAGAGGAGGGTAAGGCGGCCAGGCCCAGGGACCCTCAGAGAAGGAAAGGCCCCTCGTGTCGTCAGGCCCAGCTGGCCCCATGCCCAGAGAGGGCCCGGGTGCTCTGTAGGCCACGCAGTCTGTGGGGGCCCTGGCGCCCAGCCCGGAGCTCTTCCTGTGGCCCTGCTCGGGATGAGCTCGTGTCCAGCCTGGGAAGATAAATGTAGCTACCTCCTCCTGTGTGTCCGTCCTTGAACCAGCCCTGCCCTGGCTGGAGACTCAGAAGATGGTCTGGTGTTGGGGGTGGGATGGGAGGTGGTCGACATGCTGCCGCCCACTCCCACCTTCCCCACCTTGTTGCCAACGCAGTCCCCGTCTTTCTTTCTTTGTCCCGTGGCTGCAGCAGATGCAGAGCTGGCCGAGGGGCCCCCTTCCTGGACACCCACGCTCCCCCCAAGTGAAGTGACAGTGACCGATATCACGGCCAACTCCATCACCGTCACCTTCCGCGAGGCCCAGGCAGCCGAGGGCTTCTTCCGAGACCGCAGCGGGAAGTTCTGAATCACCATTTTTATTCTTCTTAAACTGTTTTCTTTTGGGCTTGGGGTGGGGACTTCCAGAAAGGGGGAGGGGGAGGGGCGGGATAATTATTTTATTTAACAAAAGAAACATTGAATAGGAGAAGGGGGTGAAATCCCGATACTCTCCCTCCGCCCCGCCCCTTTCTCTGCGCGGATGTTTACAGAGAGGCTGCAGATGTGTCCGTGGCTGGGCCTGGGGGGGCCTGGCGCTGCTCTGTCAGATGGGGTACCATCTCCAAGGCAGGTTGGGGGCAGGAACACCTCTGTCACCATTCTTCTCTAGACAGCGGCTGGTCCCAGAACAAAGGAGGAAGGACTGAACCCTCCCCCTCGAGCAGCCCACCCAGCCTTTCTGGTTGATTTCCCCTTTTCTTGTGTGATGTGTGTGTGTATGTGTGTGTGTGTGTGAATGTGTGTGTGTGTGTGTGTGTGTGTGTGTTGGGCGGGGTGGGGGGGCGCTCTTTATTTTTAACTTTCCACTCCAGCTTTGTGGGGGGGATATGGAGGCTGGCTTTGACCAAAAGTGATTGGGTCAGAGAGCTAAGGGGCTGGAGAAGGCTTTGAGATTGTGGAGTGGGCCACCCTGTCCCTTTAGAAAGATCTCTCCGTTTCCCTGGGGGCGGCTGCCAGCTGAGCTCCTTCCACTGAGCGCTCCCCCCTCACCTGACCTGTGAAAACTGCTCCCTTGCGCACCCAGCTGCGTGGGTGTGTGCATACTGCCCACATGACTGCGTGCACATGTCCACAGATGTGTGCAGTGCGTCTTGCAAACCTCCTGTTTAGAAACTGACCAGGTGAATGGAGGGGGTGATCCACAGCACAAAAGTTTGCCACGGGCACCCCTCACTCACCGCACCTTGCTCAGCACTTCACCTGACAGGATCTGTCCAACTCAGTGTGCTGGCAGCTGTCAGTGGAGGGCAAGGGTCCAGCCGGTGTGTGTGTTTGAGGGAAGGGGATGGCCCCCGATGCTCCAGGCATGCGGATGTAGTCTTGCGGTTTCACCTGGCCAGCCGCAGGTGCGCAAGTGTCCTCCGTGCAGGTGTGCTGTGCACCAGCACCAGCTCTGAAGCACTTGAGCTCTGTTCTCCCCTCCATCCCTGGGCTCCCGTTCTCTCTGACTCAGGTGACTTTACAGCCCTTCCCTCTTCCCTCTTTTTTTGCCCTCCCTTCTGACTCAGCCAACCCAGATGTGGGTGGTCAGGGAGGGAGGGAGCGTCCCACCACCTTCTCAGGACAGCTCTCGATTCCTGACGCCGTTCCTCCTTCCATTCTGTCTCCTCTCCATCCACCCTCAGTGCTGCAGCTGGGGCTAACCGTGTTTTCCTGTCAGGGGGACCTCTGCCATGTCTTCCTGTGGTCGTGCTGTAGTGGATGGTGCATCAGGGTGTGGACAAGCCCCACGCCCTGGCAAGAGGCTGTGTCTGCCAGAGGAGAAGGCACTCAGTTTCTGGTCTATACAAACGTGCCCCGTGGCCTAGTAGCTTCTCTGGCAATGAGGAGTGACCGCTCCCCTCTCCAGGCCCTGTAGGAGAGAAAAAGCCAGGTTAGGGGTGGGCACCAGGGGAGCAAGAGAAAGGCTGGCTCCCTCCCCTCAGACCAGGCACTCCAGTCTCCTTGCTGCCCTCTTCCAGGGCTGTCTCCACACTCTGTCTTGAGGAAGTCAGTAGAATCTTGCTGAGGCTCAAATAGGGCAGTTCTTTCTCTAGACCCTTTCTTCCCAAGTTCCCAAACCAAAGAGAGCCTGCCCCCCATTTTTGTTTGGGGTGCCTGCTGGCAAGCTCCCAGATCCCTGAGTCTCTGTCTCTCCTTCCTCCGTATTCCTTCCTTGTCCAGGGTCAATTCAGTGCTTCCATTGGGGGATGGCTCTCCCCCACCCACCAGATGACTTGACTCACCCCCAGCCTAGGGGGTTGAGTCTAGAGGAGTATGTGGGGGTGGACCAGGGAAAGAACCCTGCAGAGGGGAAGGGCAGCCTGAGCTGGGGGCTGTCCCAGAACAGGGGGTCCCAGCAGAGGGGAGGAGGGCAGTGGCAGGGGCCTTGTTCTATCAGAATGCTGTTGGCCCTGGCTTTGGGACTCGGCTGGCAGCTTCCAATAGAAGTCACACTCCCCCTTCCCCAGGGGACATGGGCCTCCTCCTTCCTCACGTTGAAGAGATGTTTGTGCAGTTTGCAGGTTTGCCCAGCTCTTTTGTGGGATTAGGCGGCTGCTGCAGTAGAATACTTCTTGCCTCCCTCTCAGGCCTTCAGGGCCCACAGGGCTCCCTGCTCTCTGACCCTGGGAGCAGGACTCAGGAGCTGTGGTGGAGACTCCCTAGGGGAAGGACTGCAGGCTGTTAGGACCTTCCTGCCCAGGACCCAGGACAAGACCTCATGAGGGGTTGAGAGTGGCCTTGTAGGCCTCCACCGGCCCTGAGCGACTCAGCAGGCTTGGGTGAGAGGGGCAAGGCAGACATGACCCCCCCACCCCACCCCACCGCCACCCGAGAAGGCCAGTACTCACTTGGGGGGGAACATTGAAAAAGTTGGACCACCTGCCTTGCCTTCCCCCAGCCCCACCTGTTTTGAATGTAGAGAGACCGGTTGGTACTTTTCTTTTGCTGCAGGGTGGGGCAAGGAGAATGTTCTCCACCCTGGCACGGCACTTGTAATGCTGCCGGGCCACACAAGGACCACCGCTCTTAGGATTGTGGTCCCATAGCCACCTTCCTCCTCTGCTCCTGCCCCAGGGAAGGCGCTTCGCTTGTCAGGTGGTGTAGTTTTTGCTTTATAATTGGCCAGCCTGGCCTCAAGGTCTTAGCACAAGAACGCTTCCTTTGCACAGAATGAGCATGAGCTTTGTTCAGACTAAATGAATGTATTTGGGAGGGATTAGGGGCACGAGTCAATTCCAAGCACATGCCTTTTCCGACAGTGTGTGCGGGGAGAGCTAGAGTGGACGCAGAGCACGGTTTTATTTTTGTACTGATAGTTATTGGTAAGAGACTGTATAGCATCTATTTATTTAGATGATTTATCTGGTAAATGAGGCAAAAATTATTAAAAGTACATTAAAGATGATTTTAAAAAAGCTCTTGAGCATCCGATCATTCCTTGTGATTGTGTCACAGCTGTGCCGGCAAAAGAGCTCCAGCTCTGGGGTCAGCAGACGGGGACCTTGGTCCCAGGTCTGCCGGTCACTGGCCATGATCTTGGACATGTCCTTTAGTTTTCTTAGACTTCCAGATGTAGTGTACAGATTAATTCTGGTGATAGGTGGGAAAGTGATTGGGAGCTGGAAATGGGAGTGTAGATGGGGGCGGGAGGGGGACGCCCACTGTCGTGGTCCTTGTCGGGTCTCATCAGAAGCTGGGCAGTGCTTCTGATTTCTTCTCCATCTTTTCTCTGCTTCCTGCCAAGAATATTCCGTCCTGGAGCCTAGGAGTGGTCAGCATCCCAGGTCTCTGCCATTGCAGGTTCTGGAACCCAGGACTGTCATGGGCTGACTCTCATCTACTATTCTGTTCAGCCAAGCTCAGCACACCTGACTGAACCCAGAGAGTAGTAGTCAGAGCCAACATGAGTGAGAGTCAGGAGATCCCTCCAAGCACATCTGTACTTGGGTTCGTCCCTGGAAGAGAGCAGAGACCGGATGGGAACAGGACAGGCAGTGAGAAGAACAGATAAGAGGCCACGCGGCCACCCAGTGGAAGGGGATGGTGGTGGCCACAGCCATGAAAGTGTCAGTAGAAGAGGGAGAAACAGCTCAACAGCCCCAGCTCCGCAGGATAATGGTGGTGGTGACGGCATAGACACTGAGGACAGGGAAGGCAAACCCGCATCCTGAGTGGGTGTCTGGTGTGGTAAGTGTGAACAGCTGACCCCTCCAGTAGGAAAAAAGTCCAATGTAATCAACTTGCCATGAAATTTCCAGCCCATCTCCTTGAAGGATGGCACCACATCGAGGGCCTGCCCTCAGTGTCCACCTCTGACAGGTTGGACACTCATCAGCTGCAGTAACGAACCTTGGGACCGGCTTTGTGAGAGGAAGCGCATGCTGTTGGCCCCATTCATAGTCTCCACTTCTTCCACCGTGGCCATTCCATGCTGGGCTTGTGTAGGCCCTGGAGGCACAAGGACGGGGGCTGGCTGTCATCCACCACCAGACAGGTAGATAGTTCATCCTATCCTCCCATTTCTTAACAGTTTTCTCTGTGGTGAGTGCTCTGGTCCAAGATGCCAAACTGACCCCAAGCATTTCTCTCTCCTCCCTCCTAAAATCCCAATAAAATGTCAATCAAGCAACCAACTAATAAAATGCAAGCTGAAATGAGAGAAAGATGGATAGCAGGACTGGAAAACAGGAAAGGAGGCATCCAACAAAGGAGAAATGGTGAGGAATTTCCATAAGGTAGCAAAGTGGCTGAGGTCAGAGCGGGAGAGGAACCAACAGGAGCTAAACAGGCAGCCAGTAGAGAGCGCACCCAGGAGGATTGGTAAGTGGTGGAAACAGGCCTCCTGAGCAACAAACAGACCTCGGGAACACACCCACTCTGGACATTGTGACATTTGAACAGAGTGGTCAGTGCTTGCTTCTGAAGCACATATACTAAAATTGAACAGAGTGGTCAGCTTTCCAGAAATAACCAGCCAGGCTGGTTCCTATGGAAGTGGGAGGTTCTTCCCAAGAGGCTTCTGACATGGACGTCAAGGTCAGGACACAAACAGTAAGAGGGAATAAAGTGCTTCCAACAGCCATGAAGCACCTGCACCCCCAACCCCGGCTTCTGGTTCTTTGTACCCACTTCTTGCTGAAGAAGGGCCCGGCTGGGCTGACTGTCTCCCGAGTCCTGCGCTCCCCAACCCAGTGCCGCACCGAGGCTGACAGCCTTAGTTGCTGTATCAGTGTCCTAGGGCCACCAGAACAAAGGACCACAGACGGGTGGGGCTTAAACAGTAGAAATTTATATTCTCACAGTTCCGGAGGCTAGAAGTTTGAGATCAAGGTGTCGGCAGAGTGGTTTCTCCCGAGGCCTCTCTCTGGCTTGTAGACGGCCCTCTTCTCCCCAAGTCTTCACCCGGTCTTCCCTCTGTGTGTGTCTGTGTCCTACTCCCCTCTTCTTATGAGGACACCACTCACACTGGCTTAGGGTTCACCTGTATGACCTCATTTAATTTAATCACCTCTTTAAAGGCTCTATCTCCAAACGCAGCCACATGAGGTCCTGGGGATTAGGACTCCAACACATGCATTTTAAGTGGAGACACAAATCAGCTCTTGACGGTTACCTACCAACACGCAATTTGTCTTTCTGCTGACAGAACCTTCATTATTTGGGAGGAGAGGAAGTGGCAGTTATCCAACAAAATGCTCTTTTTCCCAATTCCCTTCCCTGCTCCCCCCAGCTATGGGTGCTGTATGTCCAATGACAGGTAAGTGAGCTATCTGAAGTGGGCCCTTGAACTTGGGCTCATCTGATGTTTCCTCGTGTCAACGAAAATTCAATTAACTATTAAGTTAAGAATAAAAGAGGGAATTTTATTTTAGCCAAACTGAGCATTATAACCCAGGAAGCAGATTCTCAGAAAGCTCTAAGAATTGTTCCACCTATTAGTTAGAAGTCAGAGGCACAGTCATATACATTTTTGAGACAAAGGCTCATATATCAAAATGACCCACTGATATTTTACATAAAGTTTACCAAGGATACATAGTCCAGGTAAGCACAGACAAGGCGAGCAGCAAGTCACCATGACCCCCTACAGAGGTGGGAACAATCACTATTCTCTTAAGAAGTAACGTTGATAGCATCAGAAGAAAGGAAAAAAAATTGATCTTTCTGGTTGAGCAGGCACTCCCACCTTTGAAGAGCTCTGGTTAATGTGCAGATGCATACTGCACATAAGGGAGGGAGGGAGGAGGCCCAAGCAAACACAGAGAATTTCATGTTTAATTTTTCTTGTTCAATAGCATTATGTTCTGTTTTCTTTTTCCATAGATTCCACATATGAATGATATCATATGGTATTTTTCTTTCTCTTTCTGGCTTACTTCACTTAGAATGACATTCTCCAGGGCCATCCATGTTGCTGCAAATGGCATTGTCTTATCATTTTTATGGCCGAGTAGTATTCCATTGTATAAATTCTGTATATTAATTTTGTATCCTGCAACTTTACTGAATTTATTGATGAGCTCTAGAGTTTTCTGGCGGTATCTTTAGGATTTTCGATGTATAGTATCATGTCATCTGCAGGTAGTGCCAGTTTTTACTTCTTCCTTTCCAATTTGGATTCCTTTTATTTCTTTTTCTTCTGTGATTACTGTGGCTAGGACTTTCAAAACTGTGTTGAATAAAAGTGGCGAGAGTGGACATCAATGTCTTGTTGCTGAATTTAGAGGAAATGATTAGAGGAAGAAAAAATACATTTGATTATCTCAATAGATGCAGAAAAAACTTTTGATAAAATTTAACATCCATTTACTATAAAAACTCTACAGAAAGCAGACATTGAGGGAAGGTACCTCAACGTAAGAAAGGCCGGATATGACAAACCCACAGCTAACATCATACTCAAGGGTGAAAAGCTGAACACATGGTTTGTCTTCTTTAATCTGTTGTGTAATGAATTCTATTGATCTATTTCCTGATCTATAACTAGGTTTATTCACAATGTGAGTTGGGGGAAATTTATGTAACTTGTAATCTTTGATTAACACTGAAATTATATACTTTTTAAAGGTTTGATAGAAAGTGAATACATTTGGTCCTAGTGCATTTCTTTCTTTCTTTTTTCTTTTTCAGGTGGTGGATCTTTATCTTTCCAATCCTCTCCATGATAATAGATCCCTCAAGTCTACTTCTTCTTAGGTGACTTTTGTTAATTTATATTTTGCTAGGAAATTGTTCATTTCCTCAAGGTTTTCAAATTTGTTTCCATAAATTTGCATGTAATGTTCTTTTATAATCCTAGTCTTCCCTGTATCAGGGTTATTTTTCCTTTCTCATACCTTATCTTGTATATTTTTGCTGCCTTTTTCTTCTATCAGATTCTTTCTGGATGTATCTACTTTATTGGTCTTCTCAAGGAACATATTTTTTTATTTATTTGACCTATCAATTACAATTTTCTATTTAATTTCAGCTTTGGTTTTTATTAACCTCCTGTTTTTGGCTTTTCATTGCTTTTTCTAATGTCATAAAATGAGTAGTAAATTTCTGTATTTATCTCTTTTTTTGTAATAAAAACATTTAGCCTATTAATTTTTTTCTTAGTATAGCTTTTGCTATGTTCTCTAGATTTGGGTTTAAAGTTACATAAGTAAGGGCATATTTTGATACAAATATCTTTAATAACAAAATATCTGACCAGTAGACTTGAATAATGCAGACATTTATTATTTTATTTAACAGGGATATTAGAGGTAAATATTTCTAGAGTAGATACTGTTTCTAGAGCGGATATTAACAATGACATCAAGAACTTGTAGGAGTACAAACTTGGGTTAACAAACTGTGATATGTTTAATTGAGTAAGTTTCACATATTATTCTGTGGTCTTTATAAAAGCACAAACCTCTAATACTATTAAATATATCACTCTGTTAATTGAATCAGTTTCATATGTCGCTTTGTGAAAATCATGTAAGAATGCAAGCCTTGATTAACAGACCAGAATACTACCCTGATAATTAAGTTTAGTTGCTTTAAAGCTGCTTCACTAGCAGAACACTGTTACAATCCGTCTCCTAGCCGTAAAAAGCAGAGACATGCTTTGCCTGTTGGCATAGCTTGAGGTCATAGGTTGAGGGCTGCTTCTGCAAATGGAAAACCATGCATTGTCCCTTGCTCTAACCAGCAAGACACGCTTCACTTATCTAAGGCGTAGGTGGATAGAGTAGAGCTGCTGACGCTCACAGAACACTGTGACTTAGCCCTTAGCTCGGAAAAACTGGGCTGCTTTGCTTGCTTAGATTATCTCTGAATCATTGTGAAGAAACTTTGTGGTGGTCTGTTCCTCAGTATTGATTGTTTTTATCTAGTCCCTGGAACAGGAACATCGCAACCTCTCTTGTGATTGCTTAGGGCTTAAAACAACCATTTGTGCCTCTTTGGAAGAATTTATGACTCTTGCCTATTTACATACTTGCTAAACTTTATACATTCTGCTATGCTTGTAGCCCCCTCTTCACATGCCTAAGATGTATTTACTCTGATCCTTTGTTTGCTTATTCTCCATAAATACGAGTCCTGAAAGAGGTCGAGGAGTTGGTCTCTGGCTCCTTCTCACTCTCTTGACTTAATAAAGTCTTGAGTAATTTTGTTCTTCCGTGGTGGGACTTTTGCTGGACAAAACCCACAAGAACTCATGCTTTTTCCAGTTTTTTGCTTCATCATCCTCAACATTTTGGTTTTTTGTTCCCATGCTCTTCATTTTATGGTTGCATGGAAACTGTCAAGAGTTCCCGACATCTCATGTTCTATCCCACTCGTGGGCAGGAAAAACAAACCCTACTTGCCTGAAACGTCTTTTGAAACAAAATTAGAAAACTCTCTTAGCAGACATCTTCTTATGTTTGATTGGTCGTAACTTGGCTGCACAGCCACTTCTAGCTTTAACAGAGGCTAAAAAAGCTTCTGGAAAAGGGGAAGAGGGTCACATGACAGACTTGGGCCAATCGTGATTCATCTCCTGGGCTAGAGACATTGCTGCTACAACCAAACTTAGGGTTACAATCATTTTTCCTTTATGTAGATGGCTGCTATGTTGTTTGGTACATACAAGTTTATGATTGTTACATTTTATTCTTTAATTGTTCCTTTATGTTATCATATTTAGTCCCTCTTTAACCTGTCCGATGCCTTTAACTCCACTTTGTGTAATATTGCCACTCTTGCTTTTTTTTACAAAGTAATTTGCCTGCTATCTCTTTGTTCATCCCATCATTTTCAATTTCTATTATTTAATTTTTCTTATTGATTTGCAATGTTGAGTTAGTTTCAGGTGTATAGCATAGTGATTCAGTTATATATATATATATAATTTTTCATATCTTTCTCATTATAGGTTATTATAAGTTATTGAATATATTTCTATGTGCTATATACAGTAGGTCCTTGTTGTTTATATATTTTATATGTAGTGGTTAGTATCTGCAAATCCCAAATTCCTAATTTATCCCTCCCCTGCTCCTTTCCCCTTTGGTAACCATAATTTTGTTTTCTATGTCTGTGAGTCTCTTTCTGTTTTGTAACTAAGTTCATTTTTGTCATTTTTTTTAAGATTCCACATATAAGTGATATCATATGATATTTGTCTTTCTTTGTCTGACTTCCTTTACTTAGTATGATAATCTCTAGGTCCATCCATGTTGCTGCAAACGGCATTATTTCATTCTTTTTTATGGCTGAGTTATATTCCATTGTATATATACCACATCTTCTTTATTCAATCATCTGATGATGGACATTTAGGTTGCTTCCATGTCTTGGCTATTTTAAATAATGCTGCTATGAACATTGCAGTGTGTATGTCTTTTTGAATTAGAGTCTTCTCTGGATATATATACCAGGAATGGGATTGCTGGATGATATTTTAAATCTATTTTTAGTTTTTTAAGTAATCTCCATATTGTTTTCCATAGTGGTTGCACCAGACTACATTCCCACCAACAGTGTAGAAGGGTTCCCTTTTCTCCACATGCTCTCCATCATTTATCATTTGTGGACTTTCAATGATGGCCATTCTGACTGGTATAGTTTTGATTTGCGTTTCTCTGATAATTAGTAATGTTGAGCATCTTTTCATGTGCCTGTTGGCCATCTGTAGGTCTTCTTTGGAGAAATGTCTATTTAGATCTTCTGCCCATTTTTTGATTGGGTTGTTTGGTTTTTATTATTGAGTTGTATGAGCTGTTTGTATATTCTGGAAGTTAACTATTTGTCAGTCACACCATTTGCAAACATTTTCTCCCATTCCATAGGTTATCTTTTCATTTTGTTTATGGTTTTCTTTGCTGTGAAAAAGCTTGTAAGTTTAATGAGGTCCCATTTGTTTTTGCTTTTATTTCTATTGCCTTGGGAGACTGACCTAGGAAAACATTGCTCTGAGTTATGTCAGACAATATTTTGCCCGTGTTCTTTTCTAGGAGATTCGATCTCTATTATTTAAAGAGTGTTTTTTGTAAGCAGCATGGAAGAATTAATTATGTTCACATTTAGTGTGATACACTTGACTTTACTCTTCTCATCTTCTGCTGTGTTCATTATTTGTTGTAACTGTTTCCTCCCTCCTTTTCCTCCATTCTGGTGGGGTTGTTGGCAGTGGAGGCAGCCAGAGCAGGGGATCTGTGTCAGCATCCAGCTTCCAGGTGTGGTTGGTGTGGATGGAATATTCCACCACCAGCAATCCTGTCATGACTAGACCAACTAGCAGCATATCCTTCCTGGCTTTGAAGCCTCCAGATCTAGTCCTTTATCTTTCCTAGCAATTCAGAGAGCCACTCAACATCTTTCTATTAAGTCTTTTTTTCTGTTTTAATTAGCCAGAGTTGGAGCCTGTTGCTGCAGCCAAGAACACTGAAAAACACACTTCCAAGCATATTTTTTCCCATTACTATGGTCAGCTCCACTCGATAAAGTTTTACCTCATTTACTTAGACAAATACTAGATACTGAGAAGGAACAGAGACTACTTGAACTACAAAATGATCTAACTATTCTATACCATACTGGGAATTCTCAAGTAAATCTTTTCTTGGTGCTGTAGTATAAAACTTCTTTATACTCATTTTTCCTTTTTATGAAGGAAAGACCTGATTCCTCTTTTAGAAAGTAACCCAAGCTTTCGAATTATTTTTATTTTTTCACCTATAAAAATATTTACCTAAGTCGAAAAGGAAACAGAAGAATGCAAGAGGAAAGACGGTTCTGACTTGGCTGAGGGCCAGGTATGCCAGCAGAAGTTGCCAGTTGCCCCTAAGAGTCAGCAGTTTCTGAAGCACTAAGATGCCCCAGGAACAGTCATCTTGAGTCACTTCTTGACGAAGGTGATGGGGATCCAAGTCTCAAATCTCTGAAGGAATCCTCTAAATTATTCTGCTTCAAGGGCTGCTGAGAGAGAAGGAGAGAGATGAGAAAGCTTCGATGGGCAGGAAACTGCAGGGAAAAAGTGGGGAGAGGTAAGAGGTAATGCTGAAAATGCTGGGACAAGAAAAGAACTGGGTCAAGGTGGGTCGGGAGGCCTTGAGAGGAAACAGAAAGCCAGCAAGAGTCTACGAAGAGAGAGGCAAGGAAGAAACTGGGAGCCCCTGGGAGAGGGGAGCAAAAGAGGTTGTCATGAGACAAGAGAAAGGAGTAGGGGACAGTGGGGAGAGAGCAAGGAGAAGGGTGATGGACAGAAGGGCAGGGAGAGAGAGGCGGGGGCCTGCACTGAGAACAGCTTCTCACCATCAGGATCCTGTGGAGCCGTCGGCTGATGCTTCTGTTGTATTCCTCCAGCTTATCCCAGCCCTGGAACTCCTTCCCCTGGTTGTCCACAAACTTTTCCCAGCAGTCTTTAAACTCTGAGGTGAGAGAAGGAAACTGAGTCAGGCCACAAGGGCACGGGGGCAGCAAGCCTGTACCCTGCAGGGCCAGGGTCCCCTGTTTCTGTCCTCTTCCCTCTCTTCTTCTCCCTGGAATTAGTCTGTCCTTGGAATTTTCATATCAGGTGGTATCACACTTTGGGTCTCAGCTGGGCCACCATCCTTCCTGTCCAGCACCCCCTTACCCCAACTCCCACTCAGTGGCTTTCTCTCTCAGAAATGCAGCCCCTCCCATCCACTGACAGCTGTGTCTCTCTACCTACCTCGGCGGTTCATGACAGCCACTGTGACCTGAGAAGCCCACAGATACTGCAGCCCTATCTGATACTTCCTGACCCAGTGGAAGTACAGGCGGGAGGCGAAGATCTGCAGTTTCAGGTGGACTTGATCGTTGATTAAATCAACCAGTTTCTCGGCACAGGTGGGGCAAGGGCTCCACGTGACATAGCAGATGATTTCGTAGCTCTGGTTTGGGTCGAGATTCATAAACTTGATCTTGTCAATAAAGCGAATTTCTGCATGTCGCTGTTTCTGGAGAGAGTCCCAGACAGAGAGAAGGAAGGGCTGGTTTAGAAGGCAGAGGCCAGAGGTCACATACCAAGGGTGAAGTTGAGGATGAGAGGCTCTATTCTGTGAACTTCCGAGTATGTGAACTTGCCTATGACAAGGAGAAAACCTCCTTCCTTCCCTCATTATTTACTCCTTCACTGTCTCACTCATCTATAGCTTAACTGGAATCGGATCAGGGTGCCAGTGGCCAGAGAGGGAGACAGGCTGTAGAACAGACACCCCCACAGCCTAGTCTCAGAATGCTCTGGGACCTGGCTTTTGCACACACGCAGGAGGTTGTCTGGAGATGTTTGAACCTGAGGGTACCAAGGGAGGGGGGGTGGAGGGAGGGGACAGGGAGGAAGATAGACAGAAAGGCAGAAATGTGATGGAGATCTTGTCAGTGAGGTTAAGCGCTCAGCCCTTGGAAGAGTGCTTGGCTTCCTGGAAGTGATGAAGGAGCTAAGACCTGGAGGACGAGGGAACATTCACTTCTCCAAGAGGGGCAGGAAAAGCGCTCTGCTGGAGGGAAGGGCTTCTGTGTCGGTCCAGGGATGGGAACAAGTCTGGAGGGTTCCAGAGAAGCTGGGCTAACTCAGACCCTGCTAAGCCTCAGGATTTTCCCTGCATGGCCAGGGTTAGCCCCGCCTGCCCTATGCCCAGAGAACACACTTGGCACCTTGTTTCGGAGGCAGCCTTGGGCAAGTATGGAGCCATCGGGCCCCTTCAACTGGTAGCACAAATAAGTCTTCCTCCGGTAGTAGGGCGCCGTGACCCGGGGCTGGTTGCTGAACTGTTTGTTGAATATATCTTCCTTTAGCAGGCTCATTGTGTTCCTGTGCAACAAGAGAAAATCACAGCTGCAAAGAGTGTTCTCTGGCATCACCCCAGGCTCTGTCATGTTCTGAACCCAATTCCTTGGGTTCACTTGGGCCCCTAAGTGGAGGTTAGGGAGGGTCTCTTCCTTCTTTGTTGGCCAGGAGGACTCAGGAGGGAGAGGAAGAGAGTGAGCTCTCCCACCTCACACAGTGTCCCACCTCCAGCCTGGCAGAGCTCCCCTACAGCCACTGCAGGCAGGACCCCTGGGCTAAGAACTGGACACTGCCTGTCATCTCCAGCTCTGACATCTTTGTCCTGAGCCCCAGACCCTTGTTCAGGACCCACAGGCACCTCAACCCTGTGTCTAATATCTTAACCCTTCTCTTTGGGGAGTCAGGGGATGCAAGCCGGTGCTTCCTGTAGCCCTGTGCTCTTAGCTGAGGCGTGTGTATCACAATTTTGTCTGCACAAAGAGCACAGAGGCGTGTGAAGAGGAAAAACTGTTCTCACCAAGAGAGTGTGGTGACAGAGACTTCTCGCGGAAGGGCTCACGCAACTTTTTTCTCCTTCTAATTGTGATTATACCCTGTGAAATATTCCATTTTGTATCTTGCTGTTCTTTCACTTAACATTATATTGCAAAGTGGCCCGACCCAGGTAGGAATGCAGAACCAGCAGGTTCTTTTGGATAAATGCTGTTGGCTCTGCATTAGAAGTAGGTGGACATAACCAGAAGTGTTCCTGCCATGCCCACGAGAGGCGCACGAAGGCATGCTCTGGCCGGAGCTCCACTGTACGTGGGCATTCATACCCAAGTGGACACCAGCCTGAACGATCTCAGGAGGCTCGATGGCCCCAGCCCATTGTCCTGGACACTCCACCCAAGGTAATGTGACTTGGCTGACCATCAAGTCAGGCTCAAGTGACTTCAGGTCCTTGGAACTTGTGTCTGGACACAGGAATCAAGCCAAGGGTGCCCTCAGGGCGCAGACCACAAGGCACAACACTCTGTTCCTGCAAGGCCAGAAAAACCTTGCCATATTTCCAGGCAACTCACCGAAACACCACCAATTCCACCAACGGAAAACCATTTCTGATATCTGTTACGCTAATTAACAAAGCCACTAGTTTCGTCAATGGAAACCTATCTCTAACATCCCTTGTGTTAATTAGTAAACCTTTAGGTGGACTTGGATAACAATTGCTGAAGAGACCATCTCTGGACTGTGGCTGATGATCCAGTGACCTCACCTGAAGTTCATACTCCCCATTAGGGCAACTGGCCACCCTCAGGGTAAGGATTAGAAGGGAAATCAACTATACTTCAATTTAAAAAAATAAAAAGGAAAGAAGAAGAAAATCTACAATAAATAATTTTTTTTTTTTAAAAGGAGGGAAACCCCATTCACAGCACACTTTAGACAATCACTGATCCGTTTGCCTGGAATCTTCTGAATTTTAGCCCTGAAGTTCCCACGTTCTGGGAAACTGCCCAGTTCTGGGGAAATCCAGACACTCAAGGCTAAAATATTTCAAATTTTAGACAAGAGGACTTATCTTCATGGCACAAGTGTTGAACCTTGACCTTGAATAGCTAAAATCATAGATGTAATAGAAACAACTTGTAAGAAGTATTTAAAGACCAATTTAATTTTTTAAACTTGGTATTGTCTTCAGGGAAAATGAGTTACCTTCTTGTCTTGGAGAGTTTTCCCTCCACAGAGCAGAAATGAGAAATTATTTGCAAAATGGTGCCTTTAAAATAAAATTTATAAACATGCTTTTATAGCTGACTCCAAAAATTGTTTCAATCATCCTTGAACCTCAAGTCTAGGATTGAGGGTGAACAAAGAGCTTTAGGAAGCCCTGGTGGCCATGCCTATGGAATATGGCCAGGGACACAGAGAGATGGCCAGGCACACAGAGACAGGCTGTGGCAGAGGCAGGGCTGGGGGGCCTGAGGTGAGAGAAGGCCCTGCAGAGGAGTCAGAGAGAAGAGAACCCAGGGCTGGGAGCAGGGCAGATGGAGGCAAGAGGCAGGAAGCAGAGCCCAAGGCCGAGAGGTGAGCAGGCAGTGGTACCTGGTCCCTGCAGCCTAGCCCCAGCCTCCTTGGCAGGCTTGTCCCAGCTTGTCCTGGACGTGGGCTCTCTGGCTCCACCTCCCTCTCACAAGGCTGCCTTGGCCTTGGGAAAGCCCCTTTTCTGAGACTGTCTTCCTACAGCTGTCTGTGTGGTGGATGCCCTTCCTGTCTCAGTAACCAGAGCGAGGAGGCCCTAGGGTGGTTCTCTTCTCTCGGCCTGGACCTCTTTCCTCCTGCTGGGCTCTTGACTTACCTGATCCTGGGAGTCCAGTGCAGTCTCCTTGCCTGGGAAGGCTTGTCCCAGCCCAGCCCTTTGTCATGGGCACTCTGGCTCCATTTCCTCTCCCGGGCCCTTGCTTTAGGACAGCCCCTTATCTGTGAGTGACCTCCCAGGCTGGCTCAGCCGAAGCCCCACCTCCTTCCTGCTTTGGCACCAGGGGTGGGAGGGCCCTCGGGTGGTTTGCTTCCTCAGGCTCAGACCCCACCTTCTCTTGGGCCCTCCCTCTTGGCAGAGCTCAGTCTCTGATGGAGAAGAGCCCCTCTGTGCAGCAGGCCCCAACATTATTGCAAAGGGAAAGAGAAAGTAAAGATGCTAGAGAGAGGGGATGGGTCAGACCCTGGCTGAAGAGTGCAGGACAGAGGCCAGCACCTCTGGGGTGAGGGCAGGCTGGAGGCCTCTCCACCCAAACCCTGCTTGGCATTTAGTTGTCATTCAATATCCTGATAAGACTCTGGACAAGATGGAAAATGAGGGCTGGAGGTCAGCATTCCAAATTTTCATCTCCAGCCCTGTGTTGAGCAGATCCTGTGCACCATCCACTACCCCAGGCCCCAATACCATCAAGAAGGGAGGATCGTTATCCTGACTTCTTAGATGAGGTCCCAGCACAGAGAGGCTAAGATACTCTCGTGAAGTCACACAGCAAATAAATGGCAGAGCTGGAAAGCTGTCCAGGCACCCTGGCCTGGCTCCCTCCCCCTGCTTCCTCATTGTTCCATGAAAAAGAATGGGGGGGCGGTGGTGGCACAAGAGAAAGGGTCTTGCTGCCCCCATGGGGCCTCTCAGGTCAGGGACTGAGGACCTGGACTTCAAGTGTGCATCCTGAAAGCTGTCTGCTTACCTTGTCACACGGTCACCAAGACAGACAGATGAAAAAACAAAGAGCTCTTGGGAAAGTTGAAACCTAGAGAGGAGGTCTTAGAGCACAGCCACCTCCAGGCTAGACTGCACACAAATGATTCCTAAATTAACCTTTCCCAGATTGTCACCACACTGCTCCCTGGCCCTGCACACACCCTCTTCTGCCCCACTGGTTCTGGTATGGCCTCAGGGGTAACAAGACCTTGGGCAGGAGGTCAGAGGATCCGCAGGAATGGGGTCCCCTTCACCCCCATCTGTCCTAATGTCCAGAGCCACAGAGGACAAGAATGAGCTGGGTCCTTCCAGGAAGAGTGATCAGATTTGCACACTGAGGTGTTGGTCAAACTCAGACAGCTAAGTCACCCCTGGCCTGAGAAGCAGGAAGGAAGGACAAGGAGGCTGAAACCCTTTGTTGGCATTTCCTAATGACAGCACTGCTACAGCCCTGGACTGGAGAATTCCTACGAGCTGCCTGAGGTGGGCTGTGCATGGAGGTGTGCTGGGAGCGGGACATTTTATGCTGACCATTCTGGCCCATTTCGATGACCGAGACAGTCAGGAGGTGTATGGTCCACATCCGTGTCCCTCTGTGCCTCCCTCCTTGAAGGAAATGCCAACAGGGAAGAAACAAGGCAGATGAGCCGAAGCAGCCAGAGATCCCCCTCCGGATTCTGCCTAAGACCCCCAGGCAGCAGTGCAAACAGGAAGGGAGAGTGAAGGGGCAGTTGTCCATTGCCGCGACGGCAAGATTGCTGGGACCCAAGACCTTCTCCACAATAATTTTACAGACGTATTCCAAACCCAACAGCTTCCCACTCACTCTTCCTCTGCATCTGCCTGCCCAGAACCCCAACTTATCAGTCTCTTGTCCCTGTTCGCCAGGCCACAGTCCTGGCAAACCTTCCTGGAACTTCCACCGAGATCCTCCCAGTGATTTCACGGGGCGTCGGCTCTGTGGTCCAAGGGCCAGATGCTCGCTTCCTGATCTACCTTCAGCAACTGAGCTGCTGTCTCTGACGTGATTCTTGGCCAACCTTCCACTTTTTATTCTGCTTTTTGAAAAAGCTCTAATAATCTCAATCCTCATGTGCCCAAGGCTACTTTTTTCTAAAAACTTATTTAAATGTAAGCTTAACTATTACCTTTTATTTTCCTTGTTCGCTCTCCATCACCATCCCTAGAGCTTCATCTCTGGCAGCAATTTGGGAATGGGATGAAGAAAGAGCCAAGTGAGGGTGCGGGGTGATGATGACCAAGAGTGAAGGTGGAGGGTGATGATGACCGAGTGAAGGTGGAGTGGGGGAAGAAAGAGCCAAGTGAGGGTAGAGGGTGATGATCACCCAGTGAAGGTGGGGTTGGGGTGGGGTCCTGAGGCAGCGTGAAGGTGGTGGGGTGGAGTCTTTAAAGAGGTGATGTTTGTTTGTTTGTTTTTTTAATTTTTTGCAGGGAGAAGTAATTAAGTTTACTTATTTCTTTTTTTCTTGGAGGCACTGGGGATTGAACCCAGGACCTCATGCATGCTAGGCATGCACTTTACCTCTTGAGCTATTCCCTCCCCCTCCAGGTGATGGTTTTAAGAGGAGACTCTTAGGGTGAGCCCTAATCCGATGTAATGGATGTCCTTACTAGAAGAGGAAATTGGGTCACACAGAGGGACCCAGTAGTCACGCACAGAGAAAAGACCATCTGAGTACAGAGTGAGAAGGCAGCTGTCTGCAGCCACAGAGGGGCCGCAGGAGAAGCCCAACCTACCACCACCCAGATCTTAGACTGCTAGCCTCCACAACCGTGAGAAAATGAACACCTGTTGTGAGGTCACCCAGTCTGCGGAGCTCTGTCACGGAAGCCCTGGCAAATGAAAACAGCCATTCTCACCAAGCCTCCCTGTACTCTAAGTCACGTCTGTGTTAAGGGATGTTTCTGAAATCTGATTTTCACGCTTATACACATTCATGCCCACTCGTGTTCAGCGCAAGAACAAGATTTGGTAAACGTGAGACGGAAGGGAGGGGGCTCCCTCTCTGGGAGCAGGGTGGATACTCTGGGCGAAGAAAGGAGAGAAGGAGCTGAGGGCGGGCGGGGCAGGCCAAGGGCAGTGGACACGGGCCAGGAGGAGGGGAGGCCGAGAAGGCGGGTGAAGGTCATCAGAGATGAGGAGGAAGAGGGGGGAGGCTAAGGAAGCCCTCACCTGAGAATCTCCTCAAGCTTTGTGACCAGGAACTTAGAATTTTCACATAGTTTCTCCCAAGGCTTGAAGGGCATTCTCTGGTTGTACACAAAGTTTTCCCAGCAGTATTTAAAGTCTGAGATAAAGAGGGGAGAGCGCCATCAGGTCACGGCCCTGGGAGGCCTTTCTCTGCTGACCCTTCTGTGCCCTGTCCCCTCCTGCCCACTCCTGCCAGGGGCCGTCAGTCCTGCCTCAGGTTCCGAGGCTCTCCTCTCCCTCCCCCTCCCGGAAGGGCATTCGAGTCCCCCCGACCCTACCCTCACCCTGTCCCCTAGCCCCCTGGTCCCCTCTGTTCTCACCTTGGTAGGACATGATGCCCACCTGGGCCCCCACGCCATGCAGCTTGCACAGCCCCTGCTGGAACGCTGGTTGCCAGAAGTAGTAGAGGCGGGCAGCGAAGATGCTCAGTCTCACGTTCCTGTTCTTCTCCAGGAACTTAGCCACCTGCTTTGCGCATGCGACGCAGGGGCTCCAGGACACAAACCAGGTGACGTGGTAACACTCATCAGGGGACAGCCTCTTGTTGAACCAAGAGAGGAAGCAGAGTTCGGCATGGTAGGGAGTATTGAGATAGACCTGGGAAGATGGAGGAGGAAAGGGGATGCTCTTGGCCGGCAGGGCAGGCTGTGTGGTGGTGCATTGAGGGTAGGGCATGGGGAGGAAGGGTAAGGGGCAGACGTCCCAGAGGCATTCTATTCATGATTTATCCCTTCTTTCCATCTCTCTCCTCCCTTCCTTTGTTTAGTCATCCCTTCATTCCAGCATCCATTCTCCCATTCATTCATTCTACAAGTATCCTGAGTGCCTGCTCCAGGCCAGCCCCTCTAAGATCCAGGCTTGTTCTCTGTGCTGTCTGCTGGGAGGGCCATACAGCTGCCCTGTCCCTGAGGGGAGCCACCGGCCACACATATCTCCTGAGCCCTTGAAATGTGGCTCGTCTGAACGGAGATGGGCGGCAAGTATGAAAATACACGCCTCATTTCAGGGACTTAGTATAAAGGTAAAAGAATGTAAACCATCTCATGAAGAAGTTTTATCTTAGTTATATATTAGATAACATATCATTAAAATAGTAGCTTAGATATACAGTCAGTCCTCCACATCTGTGGGTTCGTCATCTGCGGATTCAACCAACCACCCATTGAAATTATTCAGAAAAAAATTTCAGTAAGTTTCAAAAAGCAAAACTTGAATTTGCCAGGCTGGCAACTATTTACATAGCATCTACATTGTACTGACAATTATGCAGCATTTATATTGTATTAGGTATTATAAGTAAACTAGAGATGATCTAAAGTATATGGGAGGATGTGCATAGGTTATATGCAAACACTACACCATTTTACACAAGGGACTTGAGCATCCGCGGATTTTGGTATCCACAGAAGTCCTGGAACCAACCCCGCTCCCATACTGAGGGATGACTATATTGCCTAAAACATTATCAATATTAATGCTATCAATTTCTCTTAACTTTTTGAACACTGGGTAGTAGAAAAAGAAAGATGACATATGTGACTCCAATTAAGTTTCTGTGGGATAGCACTGCTCCAGCACACACACCTACCCCGCCCATCCAAGATGGCCCCCTTCCCCACACAGGTTCAGAAAAGGCTGCATTCTGGGTGGAAAAGGGGGCAGGTGAGCGGGGCACATTTTGCAGGAGTGGTTAGTGGTTGGCAGGGGGGCTTCAGGGCGGTGGGCTTGATTGGTGACTGCTGATGCTGCAGTGGTCGTCCAGGGAGACCTGTCCATGAGCTCAGAGCCGGCCGGTGGCAGGCAGGACCAGGGGTATGGGTTAAGGGTCCTCCCCTGCGGGATCACAGGCCCTGGGAGGAGGCAGAGTTGTGGTGGGCAAGGACCCAACCAGCAGAGAAGTTCCTAGGGCCTGGCAGGCACTGGTGCACAATAGGCCGGACTTTCTAAAGATGCATTTTCCTCCAAGACTCGGAGATGCAATACCAGCAGATTCTCTAAACAAGGCCCGGTGGGTAAGTCAAACGCCATCATCTTGCCTGCTTGACCCTCCATCCAGGAGGGTCAAGCAGGGACCTCATGGGCCAAGGACATGGAAAATGTGTGAGAAAAAGCTTACACCACCGAGGGTCCCCAAATGGCATTTGTACTTATCACAATCTTCCCCACATCCTCAACTGTCTTATGTGAACCTCTGTAACATGTCTGACATGAGGGACACCACTTGGGGACTAACATTTCATCCCATTTTTGAAACAAGAACTCGATTTGAGCTACTGCACTGGGCAAGGGCATCTAACAGAATGTATCACCACCAGATCCACATCCTTGATAAAAACTGGACACTGCAAAAGGCATTTTCCTGGTAACTGACATGATATAGTCAGAAAACCCATGAAATATGATTGTAATTATAACTCCCATCATAATTTTTGGGAAACAACTTGTGCAAGTGAGACAGGATGGAAGGGCACTGGGTGTAACCATTAAACGAGTGACACAGACGTCTGGGCTGTGGAGTGGTCACTGGCAGTCACTGCTACAAACGGGCTCCGTGGCTTAGCGTCTCCATCCCCGCCACCTGTGATCGTGTGCTGAGGCCCACAAGGGGCCGCCGCCAAGGTTTTCACCAGCCCACAAGCAAGAGCACGGCAGCCATCCCCTCCAGCGGCCCGCTCAGGGCCACCCCTGACTACTAACAGCACCGCCTGGGCTCCACTTCCAGTAACAGCTGTTGCGGGGGTGCAGGGTACCCTGAGGAAGCCATCCCCCACCACCCGGGTCTCCCCAAAGCCAACTCCGGACACTGGTGGGCTAGCTTCTTTTTGAGAAGTCCACTCTCCCATTCAAGGCCACAGTGCTGGGGCTCCCAGAGCGTTCAGAATCGCCCCAGACGTCCACCGGCACCATCACTGTGACCTGGCTCGGGAAGCCATGCCGAAGCAGCAGCCTGGTGGCCAGCCTGGCAAAACCAACTCTAGGCTCCCATCCTGAGTGGCCGCCACCAGCTGCCAGGCTTCCTTCCAAGGCACTAGGCTCATAAGTGCCCCTGCCTCCTCTTCCCTGCACCAGAATCTGTGCTCCCCAGATTGCGATTCTAAGACACCAAATAAATGCTTTTGTTTCTTTCTGCTGCACCTCTTTTCTCTGTGAACACTCCTGCCTGTGATGAGTGTCGTCGGGCCCATACCTTGTTATGAAAGACTCCCTTGTCGGGGAAGACAGGTGAGCAGTGCTCCTTTCTTTTCACCTGGTAGCAGAGGTAGGTGCGGTTCCGCCCATAGGCATACACCAAGTTTTCAAAGTGGAAGAAGAAGGTTTGGGGATCTATCCACTCCACTAGGTTACTGGGGACAAAAGAGAGAAAAGGAAAAATGTAGAGAGCGCCCCTTAAGAGTTACTCCTGGCTGGTGTCTCCAGAGCCCAACCCCCTGGACTTCCTGGTGCATTGCCTCCCCTCAACCCGCTTGGGCCCTGAGAATTTCCTGCTGCCTTTCCGGGCAGAAAGACCCAGGGAGGCGGACAGGAGAGGGTGCTGGGACAGCTAGGACAGGTGACCTGTCCAAGGGCCCAGGCTCTGCTCCTGCCAATAGCACCCCCCACCCCAACTCCAGTTTTCCTGCCCACCCATCCCCCAACCCATTCAAAAAATATCAAAGAGTAATAAAAAACCTCTCCACGCCAAAATCATTGCCTTTAACATGTCAGTTGAATTTATTCCTGACTTTTAACTTGTGCATGTTTGTTGTGTTTTGTTTTTTAATGTCAGGTTAACGCCTAAATGCACAGGCTCAGGCTACTGCTCTAAGTGCTTTCTGTATGTAAACTCATCCATTCTTTCTCGAATTCTGTGGGGGCCATGCCCATTTTACAGAGGATGAGGCAGGGACACACAGATACAAGCCACCTGCCCAAATCACAGAGCAGTAAGTGATGGAGCTGGGTCTCCGGACCAGTCAAAGCCATTTCCAGCTGTTACACTGTGTGACCTTGCAGTTGTGTGCAGTCTTGGACGTGGTTTTCTTTTCTACTTGATTTTAATATAGGAGCGTTTCTCCTGGTCTTTCCTCCAATTCCATGTTAGTGGTACAGTTATAAATGTGAAGCGTGGCCAGATTTGTGAACAGTCTGCGTTTATTTTTCTGCTCAAGTAGAGACTTCCTTGGGTGAGATGATTTACCTTCTAGCCCCAGAGACCTATTCTCATACGATGTTCACAATGGTGTAAATACTACAGACAATCGATCAATGTGCTTCAAACAAAATTCACCAACTGCTTCAATCATCCTTTAGCCAAATTCTAAGCGTTCACAGAGCACAGATATTTCCGACCAATAGAGGGGACAGGCAGGGAGGGGACCGCCTAGCCCCACAGCCTTTCAGACTAAGAGGTGGGCCAGTTCAGGGCTGGGAGGAGGAGCCGGAAGGGCCAGTTCAGAAGCAATAGTGCAGGCAGCCCCAGAACAGAGCAAAAACCTCAGGCGGGAGTGGGTCCTGCAGAGGAAGAGCCCAGAGAGAGAAAGGAGCAAGGCTGGGACTTCCGGGACTGCGGGGAGATGGAGGCCGAGGACAGAGGCACAGTGGAGCCCACCTCAAAGAAAGGGCTGCAGAGGGGGCCCAGTGGGACAGAGCAGGCAGCAGCCGTACCTGATCCAGGGCATCTGGCTGCAGCCTCCTTGGCTGGCTAGTCCCAGCCCTGCCCTTTGTCTGGGGCGCTGGGGCTCCATTTCCTCTCCCAGGGCTCTCATCTGTAAGTGACCTCCCAGGCTGGCTCAGCCGAAGCCCCACCTCCTTCCTGCTTTGGCACCAGGGGTGGGAGGGCCCTCGGGTGGTTTGCTTCCTCAGGCTCAGACCCCACCTTCTCTTGGGCCCTCCCTCTTGGCAGAGCTCAGTCTCTGATGGAGAAGAGCCCCTCTGTGCAGCAGGCCCCAACATTATTGCAAAGGGAAAGAGAAAGTAAAGATGCTAGAGAGAGGGGATGGGTCAGACCCTGGCTGAAGAGAGCAGGACAGAGGCCAGCACCTCTGGGATGAGGGCAGGCTGGAGGCCTCTCCACCCAACCCCTGCTTGCAGCCCGAATCTGTGCCCAGTGTCTTGCTCTACACCTGCCTGTTGAATGAACAGAGGTAATGAGAAAGTGTGGACCTTGGATCAGGACTCCTTTCTCCCAGCACAGCCAGAAGTGAGGGGACAAATGTGCTTTGAGTTCCTATTTCTGTGCTTGGTCCTCTGCAAGAATCCCCTCAGCCTCCACATGGCAGAAAGAGAGAGATAAGGACATTAATCCCCTCATGGGGGTCCCACCCTCATGACCTCATCTAAACATAATCATCCCCAAAGGCCTCACCTCCTAATTCCATCGCATTAGCGGTTAGGACTGTAACAGAGAAGAACAAACCTGACTCCATATTGGATCTATTCCCTTAGCTCTGACCCTTGCGCTCTGTCACCTGTGCTTAGTCATGCTGGTTCTGCACTTTTGTAAAAGAATTTGCCTGAAATATACAGGATAGCCCATTCTCAAGGCTCTGACCTTTAAAGGTATACCCTTTCCCATTCATATAGAGATTAAAAGCTACAGAAGAGAAAACAACAATTGTCTTGTTGGAGGTTTATAGAAACATTGTGACCAGACCTACATGGATAGCTGCAAGAACAAAGGATTCCTGCACCAAGAAGTTTGCAACAACCAGCTACATTCACTTCCTTTTTAGTATAAAAGAAACCTGAATTTTAACGCTGGGAAGATGGTTCTTTGGGACACTCATCCACCATGTTTTTCATCTGCTAGCTTTCCAGATAAAGTCACTATTCCTTGCACCAACAACTCATCTCTCAATTTACTTGCCTGTTGTGCGGCGAGCAGTACCAGCTTGGACTTGGTAACAGGGCTTCAACATACAAATTTGCACACAAAAGTTCATTGTGCACAACTGACAGAGATGTTTAGCCCACACAAGACTGTGACAACAGGATTCCTTTGGTTGCATCCCAGATAATGATGGTTTATTACTGCTTTCAGTAGGGTGGGAGCTGCCTTCCACTCAGAGCTAAAACTCCAGGTTCTACAGCTGCCTTTCCAGAGGTCATGTTCACTGCTACCTTACAGGAGGCCTGGAACGTGAGTACCTTTAGCTGGGCTATTACTGCCCTTAGCAGGATCGAGATCTCAATGGGAATAAAACGCCATACTTGGCACTCACTGCCAAATTGCTTTCCAAAGCTCTTGTGCCAACACACACCTCCAGGAGAAAGGAAGAGTGTTACCATTGCCCATATCCTCACCAATACTGGTATTATGAGACCTCTCATTTTCCCAACCTGATGGGATGTGAAAAGCCATCCCACTAAGGTTTTATTTTCTATTTTCCTGATTTCTAGTGAGACCAAGCAACTTTTCACATTTTTCTGTCCCTTCTGTTTTCTCTTTTATAGACCTGTTGGCCGCATCCTTTGTACATTTTTCTAGTTGGCAATTTGTCTTTCCTTATTGCTTTATAAGAATTTTTAGATATTCTGCATAGTAATCCTTTGTCAGTCGTACACAGCGCAACTACTCTCTTCCGGTCTGTGACTAGGCTCTTAGTTTATGTTGTCTCTCCATGTGTAGATGTTTGAATTTGTAATGCTTTTAAATGTATCCATTTTTCAGGTATGTATGTGGTATATAACATAGATATCTAATTTTTAATCTTGTATATGTAGAGGCAGTATAAGAACTATTTAATGAATTTCTATCCTTGTCCTCCTGTCCTACTGATGTATAAGCCCACAAACTTATTTAATGTGTGTGTGTGTGTGTGTGTGTATTTGTGTGTGTGTGTGTGTGTGTGTATGCAGGCTGTCTCTGAACTCTCTCCTCTGCTCCATTGTCTAAGCTTGTGCTACCACCACAGTGGTCTCCTTATGTCTTTCAAGTAGTCTTAATATCTGGAACGGAGATCAACCTTATCTTCTTACTCTTTGAAATTGCATTGACCCCTCATAGAACAACATGAATTTCTGGACAGCCTTTTTCATGTTCCATGAAAAATTCTAATATCAATGTGCAGATCATTTTGGGGAGGCACAGACATCTTCGTGGTACTGAGCCTCTCCATCCATTAACATGGTATACACCTCAATTTTTGTAGGTCTTCTTTTACATTTTCAATGAGTCATACTTTTTCACAAAGATCTTACAAATTTTGTTAGGCTTATTTCTAGTAAACTTTTCTTGGAGATATTGTAGACTTCATCTATCTTTAAAGTTTTGTTTGTTGCCAGTGTCTGGGTACATTATTAATTTTTCTGAATTGAACTTGGATATAATCCAAACTTGCTGAGAACTTGCTTGCTATTTCTAGTAATTCTTTTTTTTTCCAGACAGAGAAATAAAAATTGTAAGTCCTATTTTCTTTAAGTCTTGTTGGCTTGAATATTTGTTTGTGGATGGTTTAATTATCATTTTTTTGCATCTATGTTTATACATGAATATGACTATGAGTTTCTTTTTCATGTTCTTTGCATTTAAAAATCAAGATTATTGTAGCTGCCCGAGATCAATTGAGGGAGGTTTAATTTTTTTTCCTATTTTCTGAGGAAGTTCAGTTCTGATCCTTACAGAGTTGACTGAAATCAGCATAAAGCCTCCTGGGCTGGCAATATGATACGGTTGTTTATGTGGACATTTTAACCAATAATTGCATGTCTTTAATGGTTTAGGGTTAATTCATGTGTTCTGTTTCATTTAGGATCATTTCTATCACTTTTCTTCTAGAAAGTTGCTCATTCTGCCTCATTTTTTCAGATTTATTGGCATGTATATTCATAGTATTCTGTTCTGATTTTTTACACCTATGTAAAATGTACAGAGTCTTTACAGTCTGTATAATTATGATCCCATTTTATTCATAATGTTTTTATTTTTCTTTTCTCTTTTTTTGCAGAGATTTTTCAGCTTTATCTGCTTCAATGTACTAGGTTTCGATGATAATCCTTTTTAGTCCCTTTTCTCAGTTCTTGAACTGATCACTTAAGCTTCAAATATCAGTTTTTTCTTTTCTAATATATGCATATAATGACACAAATTTCCTCTTGTTTTAGTCTACAAATTCTCTATGTATTGTTTTAAATAATCAGGGAGTTCCAAACATGCCCAATTGCCTTTACAATTTTGTCTTTAACGCAGAAATTATTTAGCAATGTGCCGGTCTAGGTGAAGGCAGGAGTTTGATCCAAATCCTGATGATCTAGTTTGAACCCACTGGAAATCAATATCCGTTATTCCCTAGTCAGGGTAGGGCTCAGCCTTGATCACATTCCCCAAGAAGCAAATACATTTCACACAAAGCCAAATGAGCATCAAAATTTTATTAAATGTGTTTGGAGAGATTGAAGGAGGTGGGTAACACTTCAAGGATGCATTAGTCAGGGTTCAACCATGAATCATAGCACCTCTGATACATTTATCTCATATAAGGACTTTTGGGTTTTTTTCCCCAGCTTTATTGAGGTATAACTGACCAATAAAATTGTATAAAATATACAATGTGATGACTCGATATACATATACATTGTAAAATGAGGACCACAATCAAGTTAACACATCCAACACTTCACATAGCTACCTTTTGTATGGTGAGAACTTTTAAGATTTCCTCTTAGCAAATTCCAAGTCGCCAATACAGTGTCATTAACTATATTCACCATGCTGTAAATTAGGTCCTCAGAACTTACTCATCTTATAACTGAAAATTTGTACCCTTTGACCAACTTTTTCCATTTCCGCCACCTCCAACCCCTGGCAACCACCATTATACTTCTGGTTTCTATGAGTCTGTCTGTTTTTTTTTTTAACATATAAATGATACCATACTTTGTATTTGTCTTTCTCTGTCTGGCTTATTTCAAGTAGCATTATACCCTCCAGCTTCATCCACATTGCCCCAAATGGCAAGATTTTCTTCTTATGGTTGAAAATATAATAATACATTATATATATCATATCTTTTTTATCCATTCATCCATCAATGGGCACTTCAGTTGTTTCCATATCTTGGCTATCATGAATAATGGCTCAGTGAACGTGGGATGCATCATAAGGCGATCTCTTTCTCTCTTTGACATATTGATTTCATTCCCTTCCCATATATACCCAGAGGTGGGACTCCTGGATCACACAGTGCATATAAGAACTCCACATTGCTGCAGTTGTGGGGTCTGGTTAAGCAGTCGCTGTAAGGTGTTGCCTTAATGTCTGATGCTGCAGCTTGAAGTCTGCAGGAAAGCAATTGGGAAGGGAAGGCAGATGTAAAGTGTGAAAGAGTGAAAACAAGCTGGAACCTCAGGATGAGCTGTGGAGCAAATGAGGCTGGACAGAAGCCCATACAAGTGTTCATGCCGCTGACTTTAGTGGTCTGCATGTCCTGCCAGGGCTCCTCCTCCCAGAGCTAAAGATCTCATGCTCCAGGGAGACGTAGGGGAAGTCCGGGCAACTGCAGTCAAGTGTGGTTGCTGCTTCACACCAGGGCGTGAGTCAAGTCAGCACACCAACACGTGAGCACCTAGAAAAGGTGCTACTTCATGTCCTCTCTCGAAATCAGCCAGAATAGTCTTCTTGTGGCCTGATCCAAAACCGCTGGGAAGGAAATTCTGAAAAATGTCCTTTGGCCTGACCAAGTCCACATATTTCAAAGCTACCACAAGGGGGTGGGACCCTGAGAATGTGATGGGATTGCATGGAGTCTATAGGATTGACATCTGAATAATATTGAGCCCTCCGATCCATGA